GGTGGTGGTGGTGGTGGTGGAGATGGTGGTGGTGGTGGTGGAGGTGGTGGTGGAGGTGGTGATGGAAGTGATGGTGGTGATAATCGTGGTAGCAGTGGTGATTTTAGCAAATACTGGAGTTGACCTGAGTCCCAGGAATAAGAAGACAACCAAGCACATTGTAGGACCTCAGCTGCTTGGAGAGAAATGTCTTCCTTGCCCAGTTCATATGAACCAGAAAACTATTCATTTTGACAAGTGGGAAAAAAATACTGAAATTATCAAGGATTCCGTACTACTTGGATTCATTGGAGAATCTGGTGGCTTAGTAGCAAGAAGCTGTGCTATAATCCCAAAGGTGCACAGTTCGAACCCCACCAGCTGCTCCGCAGAAGGATGGGTCATTTACTCTCGTGATTAGCTGCCTCTGAAAACTTGCGGGGGGGGGGGGGCCAGCTCTGGGTTGACTGACTCGATGGTCCACAGCAACCACGGGGAATAAAAAGGAGAGAAGTCGTTTGGCATTTCTTAAGCTGAAAGAACGAAAAAACAAAGTCTAGCCTCAATTTGGAATACTTAGAGATTTTATGGGCAAAATCTCGAATGATCCAGGAAGCACCCAGAGAAGATGGAGGGAATACACTGAGCCACTGCACCAAAAAGAACTGGCCGACGCTGGATATTTCCGGAAGAACCGTATGATCAAGAGCCAATGATAAGGAAAGAAAGAGTCAAGCCGTAGGAAGGCACTGGCCAAATATTAGGCCCCAGGAGTTGACGCGATACCGACAGGCATGTTTCAAATAGCAGGTGTGAATGAAGTATCAGTGAGGAATTCAAGTGAAGTATTGGGCTAACCTGCGAAGGATTTCCTTCAAGTGTCACTTTAAAGACTAAGGTGTGTCTGCCCCAAGCGATGTTATTTCCAGTCACCTACACAGGTGAGGGTCGGACGCTGCCTAACAAGGACCGAAGAATGCATTATGATTATCGTAAGAGTCCAGAATGAGGGTTGCAGAGTGGAGTACGCTGGGGGTGGGGGTGGGGGTGAG